ACCCCGTAACCCCCCTCCCAGTGCCAGTGCTGCTGATGCTGCCCATCCAGAGCACAGCCCCAGCTCAGCCCCCACTGGAAAGAGGCTAGTGCAGCCCCTGAGCCTGCAGCAGGCAACCCACCCTTGCCCTGTGCACAAATTCAGGGGACACATGCCCCCATGCCTCCCCACGGGTGCATGCAGAGGCTGGGAGCACTTCCACTCCACCCCCTCCCCATGCCCCCTGAATGAGCTGCCTGCAGCTCTGTCCCACACTGCACTGTGCCCTGGCTGGCCAGCGCCTACTCCTGCCTCAGCTCCATTCCCTCCCTCACCTTGGGGGCCTTGATCTGTGCCCCCATACCCCTTCCCCACACAGAATGCTGCTCTGTAAGCTGCAGGGCTGCATACTGGCAATCAGATCGGTATCAGCTGATATGGCTGGTTAATAATTGGGCAATAGTATTGGCCCAAAAAATCTTTATCGGTGCACCCCTAGGGATAATAGTGCTATACTCCCTCCCCATTCCTGTTACTTTAGAAGGTCATGGCATTGCAATTACCTTTGAAATGAGAACAGGTAGTGTTCAAAGTTCATATTTACAAGAGAATTGGTGGTAAATGGGCACTCTGTAACTGGGCATGTGGTGAAAATAATTGTTTGCTACACTACAGAACAAATTTATTTATTTATTTTCCTGGGGAATCTAGCTTTCTTTTATGTCCTCTAAGAGTGGAGAGTTCTATCTTATGAAGCATCTAAACCAGTGGTTCTCAAACTTTTTAGACTCAAGGTACCCTACAGAACGTTTGTGAATTGAGCACCACCCTGTTTCAAAAACTAACTTATTTATTATAGTGTTTGGTTATCTCCTTGTAAAGGGGCTGGGCAGTATAGGCAGGTGAACAGCCAGGCAGGAAAGAGCCTGAGTTTGCAGTTAGCTGCTTATTTTCTCACATTTCAGGACACACTTCAAACAATCTTATGGCATTCCCGGGTGCTCTGGCACCCTGGTTGAGATTAATTGATCTAGACTCTTTGCACATGGGTACAAGTATTAGACATTTCTCCTCCATTAAAGAAATGTTGATAATCAAATCCAAGATGACTTCCAATTTAAGACAGCCCCCCCAATAATTAGATTCTAGGTATAGAAAATTTATGAATTTGTTATAATTTTCCTTGTCTGGAACCTAATTACTGGAAGGTTATCTTAAATTCATCTCCCTACCTCTGCAGTGGGGAAGGCAGCAGCAGGGAGGTAAGCAGCAGAGGTGAGGGCAGGTGGTGGATTAATCCGTGTCCCTTTACCCCCTGGAACTTCTACCCCCACCACGTGCACTCCTGGTGCCTGTGCTTCCCTTGCCACTTGCTATCCTCCTTCCCACCGTCTACTGTTTTACTCTGTTGAGGCTCTGGCTCCGGTTGCACTTCAGCCTGGGGCACAGAGTGCATGGTGGCTCTTGTCCCCACCCAGCCAGGCGGCAGAATTTGTGGTTGTAAGGACAGCAGGGCCAGGGCCTGAGCTGCTGCCGCCGCCACTGCTGCTGCTTCTTTGTGGTCAGGCAGGGGCTGGAGCCATTATGTGCTCTGTGTCCTGGGCCAGAGTGAAGCTGGAGCCACAACTGAGGGCAAGGGAGCCGGGTGTGGGGGGAGCTGCAGAAGTGGTGGGGGCAGGATAGAGGTAACAGGGGAGGAGGCAAGCAGGCAGTAGCTGCAGCTCCAAGCCTGGGTGAGAGCCAGAGCCTCAGCAGCCGCCTGCCCCCTATCTCTGCCTTGTACTCAGATCTAAGATAAGAGGCTTCCCCCCCCCCCCCCCCCCCCCCCAGACGCAGACCCGGGGGCGGCGGATGAAGGAGGGCGCCCACATCAACCGCTCGCTGCTGGCACTGGGCATGGGGCACCAGAAGCTATATCTTGGATTTGAGGAAATATGGTGCATGTCTTGTGTATTTAGGAGACTGGAAGAAATGAGGAAAAAGATTTAGTTTTGTATTATGCTAAGCTTCAAAACAGCCAAAAGTTGGGGTCTGGTTTGGAGAGTATTTCTTCTGCATAGCATGCTCTGTTACTCTATCAGTGGGTTTTCTGAGTTCATTTTTTGTAGTTCAGCAGTAGTGTAAGGTTTTGTTTTTTTGTTTAAGTCCAAACTGCATACCAGCTCATGGCCCACTTGAGGAATTTTTAGTTTTGTTCAGGCTATGATTTTTTTGATCTTTGAGCAAGGCAAATAGAGGTTACTTCCAGGCTGTTCTCAGGCACTATATGGGGGAAAGGGAATTTTTGGTCAGGTTTTTTCCTGTTCTTTTAGCATAGCAGTATTTTTTTAGTAGTGAAGTTTTAATAAGTATTTTCAGGAAAGCTTGGGGGTTAAAGAAAATCTGAAATAGGACCAGATCCGACCAACAGATGAGAGGTTATTCACCTGAGTAGTTCTACTGTTTTCAGTGGGATGATTGTATCACTGAAGTTGCAGGGTCTTAGGGGCTTAGTTGTGGTTCATATTCTTGATGAAAACGTTGAAAATGTCCAACTAAGCAGTTTGAAATCAGGAAATCATCATGTCTCAACACTTTTATTGTCCTAAAAAATGTGGTTAGATACTGATCAGCACAATCTAAGTCATGGAAGTCCCCCATTCATATTTGCTAAAATTCTTTTTTGCAGATACTAATTTTATTCTGCAGAAGCCCTGGTAAGGCCCTTAAGAAAGTTTATCTGTTAGACTCTATCACAAAAATCTTGAAGCAGATGTGAGGGAGAATCAAGTTGGAAGTAGAATTTGGGTCTCCTGATCAGGGTCTGTGAAAGAGGAGGAAGGGGGGTGCAGTTGTACTGGGCTCCCAAGTTTGCCCCTTCCTTGCCCTCCTTCTCTGTCCTTCTTCTCCACTCCTCCCATGATGATTTTTTTTCTTAATAGACATTAGAATACAATGAGTAAAATAATTGCAAGTAATGCATGTAAATAAAGTAGAAATATGATGTATATGATCTATTTCCTGTTTGCAAAATAGAAATTGCCCAACCAGGATGTACCAGGGTCCCCAAATTTCTGCCACAGGCTCCTGCTTCTGACTGTCCCATGTTTTAAAAACTAGATCATATTGCCACCTAATGGCTAAAGGATTAATTCCAAGTCTTCATTCACATCTTCAGTTATTTCCAGTTCACTCCCAATCTGGGTGCTCAAAATGCATTTTAAAAAGTTTCAAATTCAGAATTTTGCATTGTGCGCCATTTAGTTCTTTAGCATTTGAAGACTGAAAAACACAGGACAAAATAGATGTTAGATTTTTTTTCATAGAGATTTTTCTACGAAGTCGCTTAAAATGCTTATATAACGAAAAAGGCAAGGTCTGGGCACTAACATCTTTAGCATGAGACCTTTTTTGATAACCTGCCAGTTTTTGTTAGGTTAACTTTCCACAAATTACGAAGTTTTGAGAAATCTATATTCAATAAGGATTTGCAGTTTGAAATTAATGGGACTTGTGTTCTCAGGTCACTTAAATGCTTTGGAAAATCCTATATTTAGGAACTTAATTTTAAGTTTTCAAAAAAAAAAAAAGGTGTTTTGGTTCATATATTAAAATTCAGTTTGTGTGTTCAGAAGGCCCCCTTTTTTTCCCAACATTGAATTTAATTTGGAATGACAGAAGTGTTTATGAAAATGTTATTAAAATTTAGCCTCTTGCATTTCAGACATTTATGCACACGTGCTAATAAGCACACAAGGTTTTTTCAGTTAGTTGATTTAATTACATATTGTAAAGTGTGGATTCATTTCCAAATTGTAGCACAGTAATTTTTAACACCCATGTTTGTTTGTTTTTTTAAGGAAGCAAAATACCTGTTACTAATTAGCCCTTCCATTCCAACCCCACCAACCCGCCCCCCCCCCCCACCCCCCCCCCCCAGCATCAATAATATAAATAAATATGGCCTTTATTTTCTGTGTAGTGGAGTAAAAATTCCCAACTGGATTTTCAGGCTCATGATCACATTGTAGTGAATTATGGTTAGCACTGATTAATTGTATGTACACTGTTATGTATAAGTTTCCATGTGTGTGGGAAAGATTTGTGTGCGCGCTTTGAAACTCCATCCATCAATTTGAATACCAGTTTTTGGTCAAAATGCATTTTTAAAAAAATTATCTACAAGAGTTGCAACTAACACCTAAGATTACTATAAAGCTTAAAAATTTGTGAGGCTTATTTGGGAATAAGCAGTTTCACTCTTCCTTATTTTTAGTTTTTGTCTTGCTTTATATCATAAGAAGGGTGAAAGAAGAAACTAAAATTAAAGAATTCCCAGAAATAGCAGGAACACTGATATATGCTTACTTAAAACTAAAATGGGCTATTTTATATGCATAGTGTTGCTTTAAATGTGTGCTTCTGATTTGAGTTGTGAAAGGAGTTTTTCATTTTCAGGTCTGTATAGGTGAGTGTTGTCTGGAGGACCAGTGGATAGAGTAAAAACAGATTGCATTTCAGTTTATGCTCAATGTCATCTATTCAATTTAGTAATTTTTTTTTCCAGATTGCAACTTTTTTTTCATAGTTACCAAACATATAGTTCTTCTTGCTGTTTTTCCTGCAGTCTGTCTTTTGTAACTTGCTATACAGAGCTTTAGAAATTGTGACTAAAAAAAATGTGGAAGAATTAAAGACAAATAAATGCACACTTTTTATTCCAGACTAAACCTCCTGGAACAGTATCTACATTGTCTATCTGTTAGTACCAATAAATACAGCTTTATAGGAGATGATAAAGTCTACTGTTAATATGGAATTTTCATCCAACAACTTTAACACTATAATAGCTTTGTACCTTTAATGAAAAAAGCCAAGCCTAGTTATAAGAACAAACTGTCAACAACTACTTGGGCAATTAAAAAAGCTAAAATATGTACTAAAATGTCTCTTTATCATGACTTGATGTGTTTCACAGGAAAATTGGAAATTTAAAGTAATCTCTTTTGTAGGTAACTTTTACATTTTTTTTTTTCCTGCAGGTGGCTTTTCCACAGTGTTCTTAGCGAGGACCCATGGTGGAATGCGTTGCGCATTGAAACGAATGTATGTTAATAATGTGCCTGATCTCAACATCTGCAGAAGAGAAATTACAATTATGGTAAGCAAAGCACTAACTATATCCTGAGGGAATTAACTCTTTATAAATTAATATCTATGTATGCAGTAGTTATAATGTATTTTTTTAAACTACTTTTCTGAATACGAACTTTAAAATGATCTGATTCATTGTTGTGGCACTATTGGCTTGTTTGCTGGAAGTAAATTTGAAAAGGTACTTGAAATGAATTGCAAGGATATGTATGTTTTCTAGAGCAGCAGTTGGCAACCTTTTGACACTGTGGCTTGGAATGACTCGGCTCTGGTCAGAGGCAGGTGAGCTCATGTCAGGACCTGTTCACTGCCTCTGGTGCTTCTTGGATCCAAAAGCTCCACATGCTGCAGGTAGCCCACCTCTGTTCTAGAACACCTAGCATATTGGGGAGGGAACAGGCAGCACAGTGGCAGATAGATGTGGAGCAGCAGGTTGGTCAGGGAGTTACAGGGTGGGAGCCAAAAGTTTAGCAGCAGATGGGATAAGAGAAAGGGATTAGAATGGCACGTGTGAAGGGTGCAAGGCTAAGTTGTGGTACACCTGCCAGAAAGGCTCACCTCCATTGTCTAGAGCAGGGGTGAGCAAAGTCTGACCCACAGGCTGGATCAGGCCTGTGGTGGACTCCATTTCCCAGCAGCCCCTGCCTGCGTCACTCCGGCCAGTTCCCTGGAGACCCCAGGAGTGGCAGGGCTGTGAGTATGTGGGGCTGTGACTGCCCTGTGCTCCCAGGGTCTCTGTGGAGACCATGAGTGGTGCTGGCAGGGCACATGGCTGGGCTGGGCAAGGAGCTGCTCTGGGGCTGGGATCTTGCATTGGTGACAGCATGGGCTGGAACTGGGGCAGAACTGCATTCCGCTGCTCGCATGCCGCTGCAACGAGGGGATTCTGCAGATGGGATGTGCAGGCAGTGAGGAAAAGTAGGGTACACATTGTGTTTGTTAAACAGGGTGGATTGATTAAAACTGCCAGATAAGAAACTAGGGGTGCACTGATAGAGATTTTTTTGGGCCGATACTGATGGCCAATTTTTAATTAGCCATAATGGCCGATACTGATCTGATTCCGATATGTAGCCCCACAACATGGGAGTGGCGTCTGGCTGGTAAGTTGTTGTGGGGGGAGGGAAGGCTTGGAGGGGGCGGACCGAGGGCCCTTGAGGGAGAGAGTGGGGCTGGCACTGGGGGATGGGGCAGGAGCAGGGTAGGTGCTGCCCAGCCGGGCACAGGATGGAGTCACACCTCATCTGGGAGGACATAAGGACGGGGGTGGCTCCTGCAGCTGCACGTACCCGGGGAAGGCATGGGGGGGGCGTGTGCTACAACAAATTTGGGGTAGCTGCAGTGCTGTGATTCTCAACAAGGGTGCGCCATGGTTTGCAACAGAAGGTTTGCTCTGTTATTTTTCCATCATGAGTGAAAGCTAAGAGTTGACATTTTCTGATATGCCTTGAGTCTAATAAGGTTGAGAACCACTGGACTAGATCTTTTTTTTAAACTATAGTATGGTGTCAAAATATATTTGGGTGAAGACTAGTTAAAAATGAAAACTGCATTTTAAAATGTTTTAGAAAAACTTAAATATGCTGGATGCATAAGAATGCATAAGAAAATATTAAAGTGTTGTCGATTTAAAACTTCTGTTTGAGGAAGGGTTGTTTTCAATGAAATTAATTAATTGTTTCTGGGCATTTAGGTTTTTAGAATGAATAGCTTTCATTTTCTAAAACTTAGCTTTTGATTAGAAGAATAAAACTAACTTTCCTGCTTTTTCAGTTCCCAAACAGTTTCTGTACTTTGAACTGATTTTGTAGACGAAACTGAACAGAAGAAAATATCTCTTTTGTACCGGCAAAAGAAGCTACTGCTGTCACAACCTGGTTTAGCACGTCAGTAAATTTCAGTTGTACGTGCTGAGCCAGTGGCTTCCAATTCACAGGATACACTTTCTTTACAGTTTGGTAGCAAATATACTAAATATATACCATTTGAATAGTTTGTTTAATGATTTTAATAGATCGTAGTAAGTTGAGGCCTTGACATTGTGTCACAGTTTTAAGTATTTGAACTTACTTTTTGTTTTAAAAATCCATTTGATTTTCATTTTAAAAAGAAAAATTAAATTGAGTTTAGTTCCCAGCAAGTACTCCTGTAGTAAGATCTTTCTCAATCCTTCTCTCTGGAAGGCGAATGCTGCATTACATTAAAAAGATTGAAATATTCAATGAGTGAAGAGGAAGGTGAAAGTCTTGGGAAATTCTTACGTTTGGGTTAAAATCCTTGGTAACTGACTCTTGAAGATAGAGTATATATATTTTCTTGGTTTTTAAATCAGGGCTATATACAGGTGTTACATTTTTACTGGAATTGCTGCTGTCCTGATAGAAGCTACATTCAATTCAATTTCTCTTGGGAGAAATATTCCCCTTCTGGGAGTTCTCTGAAATTCTTACTGGTAGAAAAATAGCTCAAGAGCTGGAGCACGTGTGCGCTCTAGGCATGTGGTACTAGAGGGCTGTTCTGTATGCCACCCTTGCCCTTAGTGGAGCCCATTACTTGACAACTTGTCCCTTTCTCAAGCAGAGGAGAGGACAGTTCACCAGCAGGCATCCCCCAAAGTTTTAGATCACCTTACGTGCAGTCCAGATTGGTGCCCATGGGGTGATTTAAAGCTGGAGTTGCAGGGAAGCAAGGACAAGGACAACTTCCCTAACTGTGTCCCAGTTCCCTGGGTTTTAAATTGCAGTGCGTGCTGCCCAGCTGAGTGGCATAACTGGCATTTAAAGCCCACAGGGCGGTGGACTGGGAAATAGCTACCCTGCAAGAGAGAGCTTCCTTGGCCCCCATAGCTTTGCAATCCCCATCCCCACTCTCCACCAGGACCCTGGGAGTGGCATTTGAAGCCCAGGGGCTGGGAACCAGGTCTTGGGACAGCTTCCCTGAGCCTGATTCCCTAGCCCCAGGTTTTGCAATTCCTCTCCCAACTGTCCATCTGAACAGCAGGGGCAGTATTTGAAGTCTGGGGGCCAGGAACCAGGTTTGGGGACAGCTTTCCTGAACCCAGTTCTTGGGCTTTGGAACCCTGCCTCCATCACCCATCAGGCAGCAAGGGGGAGCCAGAGAGCGCTAGTAAAGCCCCTGGAACTGCCTGGTTTTGAGAAGATGCAGAAAGCAGTGGCTGCTGCTGCTCTCTTCCTCTTTTGGACTAATCCAAGGCATGAGGGGAGCAGTGTGGCAAAGCCCCCTGCCAGCTGCTCACACTGGGGAAAGGGAAGGGGACTTTTGGTGCTGCTCCCTCTACTCAGTGTCTGGTGGAAGCAGTGCAATAAAGTACACATTTGCCCTTCAAACTGGGGACTCCAATATGTGAGGTGGGCTGCAGGCTTGTGGCACTGATCCCTCTTCTTGGCTCATGGTACCTGGGAGCTGAGCAGACTAAAGAACACTGTAAGCCCCCATCCCTGCTGTGTGTTGTACCTTTTCCAGATTGGGATGAAAATGGCCACTTCTGGCCAGGAGAAATAACATGCAGACTTGTGTTTTCTACTGGGAGAATAGTGATTCTCCTGACAGAATTGTAATACTTGTATGTCACCTAAGTTTTCTCATGTTGTGAGCTATGCAAGATGGACATCACAGACTATCTGTTTTCTTGGTATCAAAATCCCAGCTCCTGCAGCAATTGATGTTCTATCTAAAATTTATATTAGGACAATGTTTGTATTCTAGTCTGCAAGTGGCACCTTGTATCTCCACAGTTTCTATTTCTGTATCAAAGAGGTTCAGTTCACAAACATTTTTTCTACCCATGCTGTAAACTCAATTTAAATTGCTATATGTCTTAATACAGGAGGCTATACTAGCTATGCTGTGCTCATGGTTACCTGTGCAGATCTCGTTGTCTGTAAGTACTGATTGGAACCCACGAAACCATTCTGATATGCAAAAAACACCCTAATCTGTGCTAGCTATAAAGCTTTAACATATATAGAAATACATGATAATGTATCTACTGCGAAGATGTAGTAAAGTCTTGAGCAGATCCACCTTTTAAACATGCAGAAGAATATAACAGATATTGAATCTACTGTGTTACATTCAGTTTTATGTAAACATATTTCATTTCTTTTCTGTGCACATGTCAGGGTCCTGTTTAAAACCTAAATTTTGTCAGACACTATTGGTATTTCTTTGTAGTTAAAGACATGCTAGACTGTTCCAGTATGGAGGATTTGAATGACAAATGACATGCTAAAATTTAAATGTCTTGTATCCAGAAATTCAGCTGCAGGACAAGGGCTCCAATCAGTTTACATAGGGAAATGCTTTCAGGTATGAAAAAGGGCACAAAATATTTTTTGGCTTCTTAAGTAGAAGAGAGAACATTGTCATAGGCTTAGTGCCAGTTGTATTGGATCCTGTTAAATGGCTCCTGGATCAGGTTCCAGTGTGAAACAATGAAGGTAGAACTCAGTACCTCTATTTAGACTGACATGTTTCTGGCACTAAATGAAGGCTAATATGGCTGGGATATTCATTCTCTAGAAAGAAAGCTCTCATAGTTTTACCTCTTCAAAGGAAAGACTGACAGAAGAACTTTGGAAAGACAAATATATAATGCTTGTCTTGAAAAGTATGATTATGAATACCGCCACAGACAGGGTTTGGGTTGATTTCTGCATTTGACTTCGCATTTTACATAGTTGGCATTTTGTTCAGTTTTTCATAATCTATTGAAGGTAGATAAGAGTTTCTAGAACAGCAGGGAGGCATGTTTGGGGCTACTGCTATAATTTAATAATTACATCTGTACGGATACTCTAGCAGAGAGGACAAAAATGAAGTTTTAACTATAATGGTATAGTTCTCCTCATCTGTTTCTTAGACTTTTTTTTTTTTAACTCTCCCTACTTGAGCAACTCTAAATTTTTAGCATATTCTATTACATGATTTCAGTTGTTGTCTAGAGAAGTGGAGCTAACCTTCTTGGCAAGTATACCACAGATTACTTTAAGAGCCACTCTAATCCCCTCCCTTTGCCTAATGTTCTCTGCTTCCTGCCCTATTCTCCCTGTTTAATCTGCTGCTCTGCTTTGTACTTTGTACCCCCTTCCTGATTTGCTGTGTGCTACACAAAACTGCCCATGTCACAGATTAACCACCCATGGTCTAGAGGAAGTTTGCCTAGTTTGCATCTAGCCAGAAACCCTATCTGTAGTGGTGAAAAGGAAAACAATATTGTTAACAATGTACAGTCAGTCATTCAAGTTCCAAGTTAAAAAAAAATCTTTGTAACACATTTCTCATTTGGGGGTAACTTGAAGCTAGCTCAACAGGTATGAGCTTTGTCGTAGATAAAATTCAAGTTGTCTGAATTTTGAGTTTTTAGCTTGTGCTTTTTTGGGAGCAGGGTATTTGTCCATAAGTATTTGTAGTGTATCATGAATAAAAAGTTGTTTAGTTGCTCATATTGGGAATTGTTCTTAAAGATGACAAATGAACCTAGTGCATATGAAATGTGTCAAATTGGGCAGCAGCAGGAATC